GTAGGAAATTTCCTTCTAGGTTGACCGCCCTGATTTGCATCGAGCTTTCACTCCTAATTTTCAAAGATGCTCTTTACCGTATTAAAATTTTCCGTTTTGTGTTCGACTATGATTAGTACACGTTAGTGCCTTATTGTGCCAACTCGGTGGTTGGATCAACCTCTAGACGTAGCCTGAGTGGACAACTTCAATCGTTTCCATACATGTAATGACTGAAAGGCCAGTTCTCTAGGTGGCAACATGATCCACTGTACGTTTTTTGCACCAGCATGGCTTCGAACGTTAATCTTGAAAAAATAATTTGTGTTTCTTTTGACTACTTAGCTGTGTGGATTAAAACGTTTATTTCTAATGATTGACAGTCTCCAAAATACGTGCAATTTCGTGGAATCTTAAGGTTCAACTTCAGTCTAAACTTTAACTTTGAAATCCTAACTTTAGGATATGGATGTTCCCGTATTTCTTGCCTTTTGAGCGTTCCGTTGGTGGTTCCGCGGTTGTCCAGGAATCTAGCAACCGTCGTCCTCGTTGCATTTAAATCGACAAAGGAGCTACGTCGAAGGACACCATTATTTCAACTTCTTCGATTTTCACGGTTTCTGGTCTCTCGAGAAATATCCTCTGTATTGTTGATCCAATAATGAGACTCGTTGGTGAGATTGATTAGCCACTTACATAGTCCTCTTGAAATGTTGTATGTGGGTCTCTGGTAGTGAGATGACTGTGCGGAATGATGTCGTCTGTTTGTGAACCTTTGGAAGTCGATAGAATCGGGCAACTTTTGAGCCAAGGGATTCCGTGCTTCAGTACTCCTGTGTAATTTTGTGAAGATCTTTGAGTTTCTTCGGGGTTTAGTTTATCTTGTTTGTGAGTTTAGCTGTTTGTTAGTTCTGAAGATGGCTGTCCGTGGTTGTGTCATTGAGCAGAACGTTAGCTTTATCAATGTTTTTACGCTTTGTCCAGATTGACTTACGTTCTGCCTTTGTCAGCTGGCAAAATAACGGAGGCTACTTACGGCTCTTTTTCCTTGATATGTAAGGGCTGACGAAGCTTTTGTGTCAAAAGCGAAACGTTGCCCAGCAATAAATCTACCGATTGTCACCAAACTTTTTCGAAAAAGGGGTTATATGCTTTTTTTGCGGGACGGCTGGCACAATGGTTTAGTGCATATTTTGCTGAGTTTCTTCAGTGAGGTCACTGAATTTGAAGGTCACTTCAAAACCTGTCAATCTTGTCTGCACAAGATGCGACAAAATGTCACTTGTTTCAATCCGCAAAAACAGAGAATGACATAAATTCAATTGGAAAAATGTTCAAGTACTTGGTCACTGACGAACAAAATGGGAGCAAGATTTTGACGAGGTGTAGTATTTCAGAGAAAAATCGATGAATAAACACATCAACATGGACCCATTCAATCAGCCGGTACAGGCAAAAGAACCATATGAGAATCATATGGGAACTCGAGCAACCTGACGACAACTAACAGGTTGATAGGATCAAGGAAAATGAACTACTAAAAATAGACGGCTACGTAACCAGCCAGTGAAATGCAGTATATTCAGACTACAAAGCAACAAGGGAACGGCCCAAACACAACAGAGGGAAAAAACTGTCGAATTAAATGCGCCCAAAAAACCGATCGGCTATAAGGTAGTCAGACCACGAGGCAACCTAGATTTTCAGATGACCGATCAAACTACGCGATGATCACCTCAGGTCCAGCAAATCACCCCAGAGATATCAGATGATGATTTCAAACTACATTAGCATATCAGAAGAGTAGGGATTCGCCACCTCAACCCCGCACTGACAATGTCACCTTGCCTGGTGATAAAACGTTTGCAATCCAACTGCCGACCTCGGCGAACAGGCCAGCAACCAAGCAGCGCACTCTAGTTACTTTTATCCCGCAACACTGCCCAGAAAGTACCAGCATCTCGCCGATCAAAGGAAGAAAAACTAATAAAAAATCGAGGATACCAAGTGTTTCTTAGGTTGACCCAAGTTTTGCAGTCCTACTCGTAATACGTAGAAAGCCGCAAACCAGTAAATGTAGATCAGTGTGCTGATACTGCCAATGTGGGCTGTTCACATCAAAACGTACCAGGTCGAAAACCGTTATGTGATTGTTACTTCCTGTGTGGTGATTTACACTCAAAAACTCTAGAAAACAATATTCGCTTTATTCTTGTTGTTATCGCTGGTGTAGGCTCCTCTTGTTAAGTTATCACTCCTCGTAAACTCAAAGATCTAGATCACAAACTCCAAGCCGGATACGTTACTACCAACAGTCGAAAGATTTGGAAAAGTTTTTAACAGAAGATCGGAAAACTTAACATTGGAAGGGAAACCTCCCGCGGAAGAATCAAACTATGAAAACATAACACAGCCCGCCTTGAATAGATCTTTAAGCCCACGTGCTTTTAGCCTCTCAACCGTGCGAAATACTTGAATTTTGTCTGAAATATTCCCAGCGAAATTGAGAAGGGCATAATCTGAGCGAAGAAAACCCTTCCGTCCGGATGGAACTTACTCATACTCATACATATATAAGAATGAAAATACAGTGCTTCAACGCCTCACCTGTGTTTCATGAGTATATCGATTTCTCGCTTTATGCTTAAAGAGGCGTGCCTAATTTTGCGACTATTTTTCGAATCTAGTCCTTTGCAAGCAATAGATCTCATCCTGTTTGTCCTCGCGCGTACTGTACCGCTTGTATACTCGGTTAATCAGTAAAATCACTGAGTATACAGGCAGCATTGTTGTATCATATGCTGTTGGATTAAATCAGCCAGTCGTATTCTCGATCTAATTTGGACCTACAACTTGGGATCATGCACGTCACCTAACGCGGTGAAAGCTTCATACTTTGGCCGAAAATTTCTCAAGCTACTTAGCTTGTCGATTGTTATGTCTTTGCGACTAGTCCGTTAGACTTGCCTGCCTGTTGCTGCTTAGGCGTTTTGGTTTGGCAACCAACATAGTGTGAAAACCATTCATTTTAGCCTGACAGGAATTGCCAGGACTGTGCTTATTCGATGTCTTGTTTGTTTTAAAAAAATTGTCAGTGAGAAATATTCCTTGAGATTTAGCATTATTGTGATCTTGGAAGCTGTAACTCTTGACTGTTTTATCCACACTTTCTTGCCAGCCTCGTCTGCTTCCCACAATCAGTTTATGTGGTTTCCAGTGTACCACACGCCACTAAAAAAGCGTATTCTTGTCAATTACCTTTCAGAGTGAGAATTTAGGGCTTTATATGTTAACAGTTTTGAACGTACGGACACAAAAATATCTGCATTCAAAACTGTGTAGTGAAACCCCGTTGTGTTTCAGTTTCCCGCACAAAAGATACAGAACTAGTGAGAGTGGTGGAAATGATTTTTTTTCATTATGACCATCCGTTTTATTGGGAGAATAGCGGAGCTTTTCTCCAACTTGAAGTTTTAGGGGCCAGTTTATATAGAACAGGTCTACACACTGACGGCTTTAGTTGAAACAAGATCACCTCTTTTTTCCTAGAGGAAACTACTCACAAGGTTGCTGAAAACTCTCTGACAGCCCACGACCGGTTTCACCCTTCTTGGGGCTCATCAGGAAGGCGCTGTCCCCGAGTTTCCGTCAACCTTATGATCTACTTGAACCCGAATTGGACTGCTTCCGAGAAATACACTCATTTGCAAATCACCTCTTCTGTGATAGATGAAGGTTGCTACTGTAGATTTGAGCGATGTGGAATCTTTGCGCCCTCCTGGACAAGGTTTACGTGAATCTGCTTGATCAGGGCTGGGAATAGTCCAGTATGTGACATGTATCCGGTGACGACGTTGCTGTATCCACTTAACCAGACTGTTTATCTAACGCCTGTCTGTCACTTTGTACTGAGTTCGAAAGGGGAGTTGGGACAATCAAGCTGACATTGGCTTGCCCCAACACAAGGCTCAGATGCATTTACTTCATTGGTTTCCGAAGGTAAAACGCCACGCTGTTGGGCGTTTTCTCAAGAGACACAGGACACTTTACACCATCTGCCCACTAATCACCTTGGTTTCGAACAGTGATTCGTTTCATGGTCCAGAAGGAAGACAGGGCATTTGGTGGCAAACGTTTTTGCCATTCTATGCATGCATTTCAAAGTTCTGTTATCGTACTTCCAATTCATCATCATTCAGTGAAACCTCTTGTTTGTCCACATTGATATTGAGGAGTTGCGCATGTGCAGGCGTGGGCACTATGGAAACTCTGCGCCCGTGAAGTTCAACATTCCTGGGTTCCTCGAGCGATATAAAACTTGAAGTAATCGTCATCTAGACGTAACATTCTACCCATACTGCTGCTGAAAACTCTTGGAAAACCGGATCCGCAAGCAAAAGAGAGTAGTTGTCGGCAACTTTAATTAATCTTCGATTTTTGCATGGTCACAGCTTAAACTTTTCATCAGTTGTGACTTTCCAAACAACAGATGCATTTCTGTTCCTCCCTTCAAGATAAAACTTTCTAGAATTTGCAGAGAGTGAGAACAATCACCCAGAAAGATGTATTTCGAAATTGCTTAGCCATGAATAACGGCAGTTATACCCGGGATTCTGCTACAATGTATATTCACTACAAATCAGCGTTGATGAGAAAGTCGATTACCTCTCTTTCGTACGTCTTGGTTTGCACACTTCCGTCATTCAGGCATAGATGAATTTTCGAAGTTGCTGGTTGAATTGGATAAGGACGGCAAATTTGTGTATGGGCTTTGCAGTGTTGCATGTACATACCGAAGGAAAGAATCATGCAAGGGGGTAGAAGTTGCACATTTATGAAAGCTTCTTAAAATAGATTGTATACTTTGAATCTTTGGTGCATACCACAAAATCCTCCGTTGACATGGGGCTCACTACAAAGTGAGTGCTGCTTTCCAATCAACTTTGCATGCAAGTGTCAGTGTAGCTGGACCGCTGAGTAGAGAACTTCAATTGCATTTCCTTTTTTTTACCAAACTGAAGTCACGTGCGCTCCAGTGGTGTTACGGCTGATGGACTCGGTGACCCATAGCCACTTGAGTGATCGTCAGAAGAGGTATTCAGTTTCAATTCGTTATCCACCGATCTGGTTTTCATTGCTTCTTGGTCATGACTACCACAGTGGGTTTTCCAACTGGCAACTTTCTTCCTTTGCCTTGGCTGAAGAGTAGATTTCATGTCGTTCTGCCGTGAAAGTGTTTTAATGGTCGGCTGAGTTTTGGGCAGCTTTTTTCCAAATTCTATGCCATACGGTGGAATATTTTGTGTTGTTGATGTATGACACATGGTAGGGACGGCGGTCTTGAATGTTAGAACTTCACTGGTTTCCTGACATAAGTTAGGTTGTATGGATAACATCCTGGAGTCGATGTAATCCTGTTCACATAGAATGGTTTTGTTTTGAAGGTAGAATTTGTCGCCAATGCAAAACCTGGAGAAAAAGTAAGTGCTGTGTCGTTATGGCAAATAAAACAATGGTGGAGGTTGGTCAAGGAAGAAAGGGACATATAAGGAAGACTTGTAAGGATTTCGGTCGTCCAGATGAAGTGCCAACAAGGAACAAAAGATGTTTTGCTGCATGATGAGATTTGAAATATTCGAATTATTTTAGCTTAGATGCTTAAAATTACTCACAGAATTGGTTAGGGAGATGTGTCTTCAGTTCTGGGTGGTTATGAGGTTTTTAGAACGCACACTCACATCACTTTCGTCCGAACATTCATAATCCTGTCCTGGCGCAATCATTCTGGTGAATGCAGACCAAAGAAAAGAAGCACTGGGCTCGAGTTTCGCTCTTATTCGAGCTCATCAGCAGTGTATATGATTGGCCCTGCGGGGGTTTGAACTCCGCCCACCTGACATGTGAGGCGGACGTGTTACCGCCCATCCAACACCATTCTGGAATCAGCAGAATGATTGTGTTGGGACAGGAGAACGATTGTTCAAGCACGATTGATGTCAGCATGAATCCTACAAATACAGAAACCACCTAGAACTTGAGTTATCAGTTGATTAAAAACAGTTCGTATTTTCCAGCGCGGCAGTGAAGCATCGGTGTTGAACACTGATGTCACGCTGTCGATGATGATGATGATGATGATGATGATGATGATGATTCCAGCGCGATACATATAGTTGAGAATAAGTTTCTTATATGAGATAGCGCTTGTTGGCATCCATGTTGGATCACGGACCAGTTACCAGGTAGACTTTGATTCAGCACACGGGCGCCTTGACTGAGATCAGCTGTGGCAAAAAAATGCCTGCATTAATCCGTTTCTCATTCAAAAGCAGCTAGACCCAACTTCTGTGGCCTAGTGGAATCAAGGCCCGTGAAACTTGTTGAAAGTGTTGCATGTGTTGCTTACCAATCCGCTACCTGAACCTCAAGGCCTTAGCACGTGATTCTGCAGTGCATGCTGTTGGCACACAATTAAAAGTGCATCCGAACGGTCATAGAAATAAAAGGATTAGTATAGGCCTTGCTGAAACACCGTATCAGAAATTGTTGGTTTATAATTTAAAACTAGTGCACCTACCAGCGGAATTAAACAGCGTTATCCATGCATTTTAGCCAAGCGAACTGGAGCTACCATCATGAAAAACAGTCGACTGTCTCGTCAACAGAACGGTATCAATAGCTGTTTTCCTACTGGATCCAAAGTTCCAGTGGGTTCTCATGTGTGTTCTGTCCTGGAGTTCAGTACTTGTAGGTAAATTCAAACTACCGAGATATCCTATAAGTTTGCATCCTTTAATCCTTTCGATTGTATTGTTTGGTACTGGGACAGAAGGCAGATCTTGGGATGCAAACAATCCTTAATCATAGGTGCTTTCACGCAAAATGCTTTGAAGTAATCAAATACTTGAAGTCACGTGGGGTGAGAAGACACTTAACACTTGATTTGTATCATTACGTAGCATTCTTTCAAAAAGTGCTGTTGATAACAAGCCAAGCTCTATTGCATTGTGAAGGTCATATTAACCTAATTAAAGAGCGTCAGCTGATCTCATTTTAGAGTGTAACGAGGTTCATACACATAGTAGTAACGATAGCCGGCCGTCTCTGCTACCTAAACGTCGATAGTCATCCGATGGTGTCTGTCTACGGACACATGGCCAAAAAATCCATGCTCCGAACTGCAGCTGTTTCCGCTGTTTATGGGAATCCCATTCCAGTCAACTCATCACCCTATACAGACCCATGTTTCACTGATATACGCAATAGCAGACCGGCCATTTGGCAACCACACACCTCACACAGCTCAAACTAATAAGCTCTGTCCCACTAATACTACCAAATCAGGACATATACATCTGCGATCGAACACGTGGAGGTTTCTGTAGCGTACCCCTCAACAGAGCGTTTGACAAAGGTGATGTAGGTAGGTATTACGTGTGCACAGTGTACACGTGTTTTACCCGTATTAGGTGATATGCTACTCAGGGCCACCAACACTTTCAGGCTCCCAAAAATAAATTTCACTCGCAAAATATGTCATCGCTCCGTCATCGCACTACCTGGCATCCAACACCCAAACCACAGTCTCCATACGCCGCACATGTCTGTAGCTTTTTAGTCAGCGGTAAAGACTGCAACAACTTTGCTATTGTAGCTTCGTTTCGAAACCCAGTAAGATGACGAAGCTTATTAATGTGAAGCTGCCGCAACAATGAGTGCGCACGAATCCGTGTGGAAGTGGGCATAAGAAATGTCCGGGACATGCAGACATAGGGAAACAAACTGGCTTCCTAAAACAGTTGGAAAATATTTCCATGGAAGGAAACCATTCACAAGGTTGCTGAAATATACTGCGATATCTCAGATATCGTGCCACTTTGTGAAGGGCATCCAGTTGCAGAATAGCCTAAACAAGAGATCCATTTGAGTCTCTCATGAAAACCAAGTTGTTATGTAGTTATGGAACACTCCTTATATCTATGATGGAACTGGAACTCACAAACAATCGATGAATTATATGATAGGCCTCCATTTGAAATGATCGGTTCCATTTGCGGTAGCTGTTGGGGATCTAGATTACATACTACTTATGGGACACCGTTTAATTGAACTATTTAGTAGTGATCTGTTTTGAAAGGTATTTTCCATCAAAAGTGGTCCTTCAAGAAGCAGGAATCCGTATATGTAGGAAACCTCCTTTTTGCTTTCTATTTGGACCTTAGTACTGTACGGCGGAGTCCTTCATTGAAACATTGCTTAAATGAACAAAGGCGTTCACCTTTTTCGTTTAGGCGAGGAAAACAGTATTCATGCTATCCGACTGTGTATAAAAGACTACCAGAGCGTCGCGCGGAAAAATACTTCCGCTTACGAGATACTGCTTGGTTGACCAGCTGTTTCGACACAATCTTCATCAATCCTAGCAATGTGCAACGAGCAGATAACGAGAAAACGATGATATTTCCAGACTTACCTCAATTGACAACGTTGGCAACAGAAACAGTTGAGGTGATATACATTTTCTTGAATCCGCATAACAAACTCAAATCCAAGAATGCGCTTTAGGCAGACCACGCATATCCCCGTTTTTCCATAGAGCCTAGGTAAACAAAGCCCATTACATGACACTGAGTGTATTTGCGTAAAAGATGAACAAACTGACTGTTAAACAGTACTTTAAATTCAAGTGTTACTTGGTGAATATACACTTATTTACAACCTAGTTTGGTTTTTCGAGAGACTCACATGGAACCCAGCTAAAATCTTTCGGTTTGATGGTTCCAAGCAACCGAATGGGCTGCACCGGGCCGCCTCATGGTTCAGTAGGTACGATATTCGAGATATCGTGATACATATATATTTTTGTAACGCACTATTCTAAGGTTGCTGGAAACTCCTCGACAAGTGTTACTTGTTTTCGTGTCCCTTCTAATTGGTGCTTCGTGTGTTACTTGTTTCGAGCAGTGAATCCAAACACTGGTTTCTCAGGTGCGCATCCTGATGACTGATCAGGTGACTGTTCATGTGTTTGCTTGCAAACACATCGAATGATAATCCTGGCTTTGGTTAGCATATGGTTAAGTATGTTTTTGTCTGGTAAGCTTAAAACACAGCCAACCGCAACATCTTTAAAAAAACATCTGAAGAACATTTTTCATGAAGGAAACTACTCACAAGGTTGCTGAAAACTCCTTGACAGCCCACGACCGGTTTCGCCCTTCTTGGGGCTCATCAGGAAGGTGCAGGCCCCGAGTTTCCGCCAACTTCATGATCTACGTGAACCCAAATTGGACTGTTTTCGAGAAATACACTCACTTGCAAATCAATTTGGTTTTCAAGAGAGACTCACCTGAATCTCTCATTTAGGATGTTCTACAACTGAATTTGCTGCACACAGGCCGCCTCATGATCCAGTTGACACGATATCCGAGATATTGTAGTATATTTTCATTGTGGAAACCACTCACAAGTTTGCTGAAAACTCTTCGACAGCCCACGACCGTTTTCACCCTTCTTGGGGCTCATCAGGTAGGCGCAGTCCTCGGCTTTCCGTCAACCTTATATTTTACTTGAGACACATTGATTTGCAAATGAGTGTATTTCTCAAAAACAGTCCAATTTGGGTTCAAGTAGATCATGAGGTTGACGGAAACTCAGGAACTGCGCCTACCTGATGAGCCCCAAGAAGGGTGAAAACGGTCGTGTGCTGTCGAAGTGTTTTCAGCAAACTTGTAAGTAGTTTTCTTCATGAAAATTTACTGTGGTATCTCGAATGTCGTGCCAAATGGAAGTCTGCGTTGCTCCAAACCAAAGCGACAGTCGTGCCAAATGAATCATGAGGTGGTCTGTGTGCAGCACATTCAGTTTTAGAATATCCTAAACGAAAGATTCAGTTGAGTCTCTCGTAAAAACCATATTGATTGCAAACTTGTGTATTTTTCTGAACAACTTGTTTTCAATTAACTGAAAGGACAAGCTTCGCAAGTATACTGATAGCAGGGAGTAAGGACGAAGGGCATCAACTGACGATGTTTGGGGTCGTATTCCACTAAGCATTGTGCGTGGTAACTGTGATGGCATGTGTTTAGCGTACATAGCATTGGTCACTCGAAATGATTTATCCATTCCAGGTTTTCTGAGTGAGCTCGGCTGATAACACCGCTTCACGTAACTGCCGCGCGCACTGTCTTTTCAGTTTAACACCCATCTTAAAGACACTGTTTTCAGGATTCTTCTTGCTCTTGCAAAGCACAGCGACTCGTGCTCACTGTCGCCCTTCGCCACCAGGCCTGTATTGCAAAAACCAATTGCACTGGGCTCCAGAATCACAGTCTCACATGTCTGCATTGATCTTTGGAGCATGTCCTCACCAAGGCCTGACAGCGGGTGCTCGTTATCGCTTAGGGAGTGGAACCCCAACGTACAACGGCGATCTCACAACAAAATGGACACATACGACGAATAACTGGGTTCTTCTTCTCACAATGTGAACTTGGACCACTTTGTCAAAACGTGTACGACTCACTGCATTTATCCACAGGTGAGAACCGCTTACACAACCCCGAATTCTTTAGGGAAGGAAGACGACGACGTTTTGGTACTGAATGTACGAAGAAGTGACTCGACTGCACATCATGCGCAACGAAAAACAGACTAAGGAATTAGGAAGCACAGTTGATTCAATCCAGACTAGCGAAGTTTGAGACCTTAGCTAATCGATATGCGTAAGTACTGTGACCGAACAAATGAATCTTGCTGTGTCACTGTAGTCTTTCAGGAATTATCCTGAAAGATTTACTCCTATATCAAAACGGCACCCGGCACTGGACAAAGAGTAACTAGAAACGATTCAGGGCTATGCAAGACAATCCCCTAAGTCATAATGCATTAAACTAGTTTTAATCACCGATTACATGCATCAAATCTGCTTGTCCTAATCCTATTCTCGCCGGTGGCACGTTCACTCACTTCAGAGTCGTCAAACGGCGTTCACATCCAAGAGTGAAACTGCTTGAAACAATATAAGCCCAGGAACTACTAGGCTGCGTTCGTGGTAACTACTTCCGCACTTGTTACTTTACTATTCTTGCTCGAAAAATCGAAAAAAACTGTACCGAACGAGATTCCATAATCACTTCTATAGTGCAGTGAAGTGGCTAATTTGAGCCACGTAGTTAATAGTTCGCATTGATTTAAAGACTGCAGCAGAACAGATGAGGTCAACCAAAAATACATGGACGTGGAGGCTACTGTCTGCAATAAATAAGTGAAGGCATCAGCTGAACACAGTAAAACTCCTTTTTTCAGGTGCACTTGTCATATCTGATACTCATTTTGTTTGAAAGCCTTCATTTGGTTATTAGAAATAGCAATATTAGCAAGCATTTTTCTAGTTAATCAACCAAGTGTATTTTCTAAAAGCCCACTTCTTGAGTTTTAAACGTATGAAAATCTAAACAAGTAATTCGTAATAAACCCAATAATCTATTCCGTCTTGTTCTGTTTTGTTTTGTCTTTCGCGAAGTTTCGAAGAAAGAGGCAGACTCAACAAGATTTTGTATTATTCGCGGACTCTTCTCGTAACAACACAACACTATGTGCCAACAGGTGTTCCTTTTTCAAGGCTAGGTCGCATTAGTAGTAAGGATTGCCTTGATAACAGCTATTTCCAAGTTGATTCTTTTTCATGAGTATTATGGATGGTTACTATGTTAAAATCAAATTCCCAGACTGAGACTGGACCGGACCCAGATGTTGATGTAATATTGCTCAAGGTAATATCCCCGATCATAGAATCCCATCAGAATGTACGGTTCCGGAGCGATGTAAGTGAACAGTACCATAGAATGTAATGAAAGCATTTTTAACACATCAAAAAGCGTACTTAAATGAGATAGGTTGCTTTACGCCAGGAAAACTTATTTTCTGGATATAGAAGACCTTGAATTCCCCCAATTTTATGGAGTGATTAAGATCGTGATGTAGTGTAATGAAGCTGGGGTTCTTCGAAGTAAATAACTTACCCAATGGATATTCTTGCTTCTGGGATTCTGGGATTCTTACCGTGCTGTTCTGGCAATGGTTAAACAAGTGGAAAAAGCAGGGATGTCTCTCCAATCAAAACTCGTTCGTTAATCAGTCCTTCCTACCATGCTTACTTTGAAAAGTAGAGAAAAACAAACCAAACTGAGGAGGTGTTTCTCTACACCGGAGAATAAGCATAGTACCACATTAAAATATGAATCCTAAGTACCAGCTGCACACAGGAGCAACAAAACTCATTCCACCAAGCAAGTACTATATCTTGTTCAGATTACGTGCGTAATTTTCGCATCACAGGGAAACCTATGTAATAGTCCTCAGAACTATGTGAAATATCCCAAAAGAAGGATGAAGTTCGACGTACCTGAGGTAGTCACGCCGACAGAGTGGCATCCTTGCCTTCATATAACACACCTTGTCAAGTTCCGCGAGACGTACATCACAGCAAGCACATCGCAGGCAGTCTTCGTGCCAATATTTATCGTCTGCCACCAGAAGGTGAGCTTCACGGATGGGTTGTTCACACTTCGAACATAGCATTGTAGCTGTGTCGCGCATCAAACTCGATGTACTCTCAGGAACTCCGCAGATGTCTTTAGGAACACAAAAATAACAGGATGAAAAGGGAATTCCAGAGAAGAAAAAGTCTGATGGCATTCATACGTTCAACAGAAGCAGTATTTCATCTTAAATAAACCCATTTTTTATGTAATGATTAAAAGTTGCACCACTATTTCAGAAGTCAAAAAACGATTGTGTTCGACTGTTTTGTTACTCTGATGATGTCCGCAACTTTGTAGTTTGAATTGTATTAGGCCTAACGTCTAGGAAACCTCATAAACCGATCGATAAATGTTCAGACTTAAGTGAAACCTGTTGAGTTTGCATAGTCTTCAGTTGGAATCACAAGAAGACGCCTAATCGACAGATAAGTTTCGGCACTTAAACCAACCAAAACCGAGCCGGTCACTAGTTTCCCGACAGTAAACGGGTAAACGTGGAAATCGCAACACATTATGCCACATCTAACCTCTATACCATGGTATCTTACAGGATTAGGTTCCCCAGGTTGCACAAGGGGTCCGCTAACCCATGGTCGCAGTCTCTGCTATTCGTCGGGCTGCCACCCTTGGCTTCCCTGCCATCCTCGGATCTTAAGTTACTAAGTTCTGGCCATTGTAGCAAGCAGGGTCATTGTACCAGAGCTTTAGACCGGGACAAGGAATGAAGATGAATGAGGCTGACCTATGTCAAAAATATCGGTAGACTATACACTCATTTGGAAACTAATTTGGTTTTTCGAGAGACTCACCTGGAACCCAGCTGAACCTCTCGTTTGTGATGTTTTCAGGGTTTTCAGCAACCTAATGAGTAGTGCGTCACAAATATTTACATGTAACGCGATATCTCGAATACAGTAGCGACTGAAACATGAGGCGGCCTGGTGCGGCACATTCAGTCGCCTGGAAACATCACAAACGAGAGGTTCAGCTGGGTTCCAGGTGAGTCTCTCGAAAAACCAAATTAGTTTGCAAATGAGTGTATATTCGCTTGTTTCGTGCAATTTGGCTTCAGGTAGAACATAAGGTTGACGGAAACCCGGGGACTGCGCCTACCTGATGAGCCCCAAAAAGGGTGAAACCGATCGTGGGCTGTCGACGGATTTTCAGCAACCATATGAGGAGTACATCACAAATATTCACAAAATCGTTAGATATTCGGAGACAGTATCCACTTCTTGAGCTGTTCAAAATTAGAATAATTTGTGGATTGCTACGCTGCTAAATGACAGAAGAGCAAAGACACTTAAGCCAAGATGGAAAACGATAATCGTCGACCGATTTCACATGTAGAGTTTATGAAGGGAATCAGGCAGCCAAGGTTTCTTAGCGAGGTCAAAGATCGCGGCAAGGGCAGCGTGGGGTGACGAAAATCATTAAACACTGTTAATCTGTGTGGCCATCGGAATAGGTATGACAGGCAGGGGATGATAACGTGTAGGGTCACACACTGGGGAAGTTCACAGTTCGAGCCATCAAGGATATCAGGAGAAAGTGGGAGTGGAGATTTGATGTCATCGAATTTAACGATAATAAGCCATAGGCGTTAATAAATCAGCTAGAAGACTGTTGATTATCTGCGGATATTTCTTCGGATTTTGAAGTTCCATACGGACAGTTTTGCGTAGGCAACAACGAGTATTGCATTGAGATTCCGCATTTCACCTAAATCCTTCCTTGACAGTACAGAAAATTAATAGATATTAGGATATGAATGGCTATTAAAGCGCCTGGAAGCCGTAAAATAAAACATCAATTAGAGAGACATCGATGTCCTCAAAACTTTACAGCGGAAAGCTGTGAGAAAAATTGTAAACGGATGATCCAGTTGGGTCTCTTGTTCACATCATCGTAGTGTTAAAATCCACATATAAAGGATAATGAGTTTGAGCAAGCAGTAAGAGAAAAAAGAACATTATCAAAAAAGGTGCGCCTGAATATGTGGTTAAGTTAGGGGGAGAAATTATCGCCAGTTTTTACCACAGTAAAAAGAGGAATCCGACTTTGGGCCTAAAAAGAAACGGGATTAGTTTTACGGAGGGATGTAAACGCAGAGGGATTTGGTTGACATGCACCACGTGATGTATGGGCTGTCATGGTTTTTTGCGTACATCTACGCCCGTTTGGTTTATAATGAATGCCAGAAAAACAACAACCTCGTCTTTCTAAGGTATGAACTCCAGACCGGTAGTTCTAGATGGTTCTATATGGTTAGCTTGTTTCTGTCTAAATTTGAGTACCCGCCCTCTATTCCACTTGAACTCCTGCCTTGTACAAAAAGGCTGTTTGAAATGACTTCTCAACTGAACGTACCATTGATATAGTTGCTGAATTCTTTTCAGGAGCCCACGACCGGTCTCGTTCTTCTTGGGGATAATAAAGTGGGTGATGTCCCCTGTTTTTGCCCACTCTAATTCTGCAAGCAAACGCCGAATTAATATAATTCTATTGTCATATGAACATGAAGTAGGGGTTACTGAACAGTGTTGACTTAATGGTTTTCTATACACCGACATTGAATCCAGATGTCATTCTCTTCAAGCACCGCCGCTTCCATTATTCAAACCTGTGCTACTCAAATTTACCAGTTTGCTCTCAAAATGAGCCGATCAAATTGCAGCCACACATGACTGCATACCTTGAAGAGAAACTAATGACAGTTTCAATGGGGGCTGAAAGTGTAATATATACGGAAACCATGTGCGCATTTAAAGATTGAACTGGGAACTGATGAAGTATACTAGAGTTACTGGGGGATGGAACAGTAATCTTCCCGAGAAGATATGACACAAATACCAAGTCTTATTAAACCAAACTCACTCTTTTATGTACTTTACCGTAATCACTTATCTGCGCCTGAAAAATAATTCCGATTTCACGTAAATGTTTGTAGTTATTCTGTCTCATTGGTATTCATTTGCAATAGATTTGTGGGAAGACTTGGTTTGATAAGCTGTCACCACATGAACACTGCTCCCTAATATATGCTGACGTCCAGGAGGAGCGAGCACAAAGTACAATCAACAAAATATCCGAGGTCACGTGACTGACAATATTTCAAGTGTCGTCCGATTGGTTAACTCTTTTCCATTGTTCAGCTTGTCACTGTTGTAATTGCATCCTTCTCATCCAAAGCAAGGGGAAGAACGAACCTACATTTGTTAACACTGAGAGGATTACGCCTTTCTCTTGCAGCATTGTTTTCTGGTTGATGGTGGAGTGCAGACTAGCAGTTAAGTTAGCCAACCAAGTGGGAGCAATTCCGAGACATTGTGGCTGTGCCAAACAAGGTGGGGTTATTCCCAATTCATGAAAGACAGAAAGTTCCGGAAAGGGGAGGTGGTATATAGGCGGGAGGGTGACAGGAGCGGTGAAGTGTATTCACTTGGTTCGCTTGATGACGGAAGCGGGTTAATTACTTTCGCCCGTTTGCGTTTCAATGTTTGTATGCCGGGGACGATTGGACGAGGAGACATCCCATTTTATGATAATCTCCATAATTAATCAGCATAATCAATTTGCGACCGTAATTAAATTTACTCAGGCGAAACAAATTTATCCGAGTAATTTGAACACAAGAAGGGAGCTTGGAAAACTCTCTGGATAGTGTTTCGGTTTTCCATGCAGAGACTTTCAGTGTGTAAATTCCCAAAGATTCGCTAAAGCAGACGGAATGTATGGTTAAATCTTCTTGGAAGTAAGGTATTCTTTCCTTCAACGCTTGAACGAATCCGCGGGGTGCTTGGGGTGCTGTACAGGTCTATTTTGTCTCCAAAAACGGATGAAAATCAGCGCTGGTATACTGGCAACTATTTGTCCGAAGCACACAAGCACCTTCTGTATAGTTTTGTGGTTTAAGTACGACAGCTTCAAAGGACAGACCCATCAGTCAGGATGAATCGCAATTTGACTAATGAATTTCAAGAACAAAGCATCTTTCGTGGCTTTCCGTTCTCGGGATACGTAGAAGAGCTTGCGAAAATCGACTACACACGGATAAGCAACTCTCGTTTATACAACATTCCAGCAAAATTTGCTGCACAGCGGCAGATTCATGGGACGTTTAGCTGAGTAGCTCATTAAAGACAAAGTAATGAATATATTTGGTCATTCACTTGATATATGGTGGACTATGCCTCCGTGATGAAGCCGAAAATGTGCGAGTCCCATAGTGGACTGCTGCGGAGATTGCAGTGACCTTCAATTAGTAAGTTATGTGAGGACAGAGATGAACTTATCGATCAGCTAGTATATCGGACATCTTCAACGGATAGGATTCAGCATGGGATTCAGCCATAAAGGAAACTAATCACAAGGTTGCTGAAAACTCTTCGACAGCCCACGACGGTTTTCGCCCGTCTTGGGGCTCATCAGGTAGGCGCAGTCCCCAGGTTTACGTCAAACTTATGTTCTACTTGAATCAAATTGATTTGCAAATGAGTTTATTTCTCGAAAACCGTCCAATTTTGGCTCAAGTAGATCATAAGGTTGACGGAAACTCGGGAACTGCGCCTACCTGATGAGCCCCAAGAAGGGCGAAACCGGTCGTGGGCTGTCGAAGAGTTTTCAGCAAACTTGTGAGTAGTTTTCTTCATGAAAATATACTGCGATATCTCGAATATCGTCCCAACTGAAACATGAGGCGGCTTGTGTGCAGCACATTCAGTTGTGGAGTATCATAAATGAAAGATTCAGTTGAGTCTCTCGGAAAAACCAAATTGATTTGTAAGTGAGTGTATTTCTCAAATACTGGCCAGTTGCAAATCGCGTGCGCCTCTCGATGTCTGACCAATTGTGAGTTAAGTGACATTCACCATCAGCAAGCGATTTATCTAACTTGTCTACTGGAGATTGGCTAACATTACTGACCTTTTTTATGTCACCATTTGATCGACGGCATCCTCATCTCGACATAAATCAATTATATTGTCTTTGTTTCTATAAATCATAGTCAATAATGGAGGCGATTTTGAAGGGTAGGTCTCTGTTGTTTTTTAACAGAGGCAGCATAAGCCCACTGGGATTAAAACTAAACCTGCGTCTGAGGAAAGGAACAGGAGAATGTGGACTAATTTTACCGCTGAATTTCCGAGGTACTTGGTTTATTAGTAATTAAAATATGTTGAGGATGACCAAGTGGGGCTCTGGGCAGAACACCATTTATAAGGTTGCTGAAAAGTCCTTGACCACTCCCGACCGGTTTTGACCAAATTGGGGCATATCAGGTTAGCACAGTCCCTGAGTTTCCATCAAACCTCTGTTCTGCTCAAACACAAATTGTATGAACTTCAAGACCTACTACCATTCGCACGTCCGTTTGGTTTTAACGGTCGACTCAACTGGGTGCCAGCCGAACAATTCGTTGACAGCTGACCAAAACTCGGGAACAATGGCTCTACGATGAACCCCAAGAAGAGCAAAACCGACCAAAAACTGTCGAGGATTTTTCAGCAACCATACGAAATGTACTGTGATATCTCGAATATCGCAATCACCGCGACATGAGGTGGCCCATTTGCGGAACACTGTTTTAGAATAACATATTGAAGAGAGATTCAGCTAAAATTCGGTTGAGGATCCCGTGTAAACCAAAATGCTGTGCAGATAATTGCCTTCGATAGGTGCCTAGGTGATCTTCTAACGGGGCTCTAATTTGTCTCAATTTCAAGGCTCTTTTCCAGTGTAAAAAGACAAACCTCTACAAAACAGACAGACTTGGATAAACAGTCCTCGATTGTCTAATATCTCTGGGCTTGTGGCAGTGGCAGCATTAAGAAACATCTCATCTAGTTTTCTCAGTGTACAGTCGCTGGATGATTGATACAGACTGCCTGGTGATCTAATCGCTCTGAAAACACAAGCTTATTCAGTGCACTACACGGGTGCACATGGAACACCTCTCTCTAGCAAGAACTGGAAGTATTGTATCCTTGGCGCTCTATCTGTCCAGAATATGGCCCGTCCGTCAGAAGACAGGTTGAGCTTGGTGTAAAATAGCAGCCACCAAAACTTATTTAGAGGAAGTAGGAAGAATTAGATGCGTAACTAAATTAGAGCTGGCAGGACCGGTGGCCTTTTTAATGTTGGGTGTTGTTTGCTAATTTTTACCCGGTAGCACGACAGAAAGTTTTCCAGTTCCTTCTAAAGATAAGTTGTGGCTTACCAGGTTCTTCGTTTGCACAGCTTTGCACATAACGCCCCAAATATTAAAGGTTCCATTTTTCTGTAAACGAGAAACCACACTTACCTGGAAAGTCAGCTTCAGTCCCGTTCCTACAAACCCTTTTTCCTTTTCCACACCGTCCGTCACGTGATGGTTGTTTACTTTTTCAAATCAAATAGAGAAAATCATCTTCTAAACATCAAAAACTTCCTGCAAGATCCTTTGTATCTAGTCTTCCTCAGTAAAAGAGTTTTAAGGTTATACACACCGATTTTAGGAGGTGCACCATCAGTTTCTGTCTCCCCACGAATTCCTATCACAAAGAACGTTTTGCATCCCGAATTTGTCCACTGTTCTAACACCACAAGCCCAGTGGAAACTTTCTATCGTTTCTACTGTTGACATCTGGTTCATCCAAAACCTGATGTCAGACGACTTTTAGAATTACTACCGATTTTGATCTAGCGGCTTTCAATAGTGTTCAGTTACTTCCACAGCCAGACGGAGGCTTTTTTTTGCCCTTTCTTCTAGCTTAGTTGGCTAGCAGAGTTCATTTTGCCGTGCGTAGGAACAAAGCGCAAAAATAAGCTGAAGAAAATTAGCTCTCCAACTCACTCACCTGGTGAGGCTATTAAGTGTTCCATCGAGACAGTTGGGAAATCTTCACTTTGCCAAAGCACTTGAAGCTCGCACAAAGGTTCGGAAGCCCACGAAGTTACTTCATTCCGGGGGTACCACTGCTCAGGGAAGGAATGTCTATTCTCTCATGGCTCACATAGACTGAAGCTATCTGGATGAACTTTCCTTCAAATAAAACCCTTTTGCGGAAGTTTCCTTATACCGCATAAGGTATTATGTAGTGTTACGCACTTCTATTTTGTATACAACTGAACAATCCGGTTGCCAAAAACAACTCTTAAGGAGTTGTGGAATAAAAATTGAGCATAGTTTTCCGCATTATTTTGGAATAATTTCAAGTTGAATCATGAAAACATCCCATATGGGAATGCGTTTTTAACGGTGTAATTTTTTCTACGTTAACGACAAGCAATTAAGTTGATACTCTCCAGAGGGTCATTACTTTGTGTCCCTGGCCCGTTAAAACCATAAAATACTTTTATTGTTGATCACAAAATCCAAACTGAAATGTTGTAGCCGGCAATTAAAATCGAATATCTAACCAGCTAGATAAAAATGGAACATGGTAATGATTTCTTGGATCGTATACAAGTGAATAAAACATTAATCTGTTTTATACGGATGCATTTTTGAGTCTTGATCACGGAGATTTCAGAAAGCCGATGCAAAAACTAAAAAAACTAGCGAATGTTTGATGATAAAATTTCAAGTTTCCGGCCCCGGTTAAAATGCATTTACCAGGTTAATCTTAGATGTCAGCTTGTTACCCATTCTCATTTTGTATGGATGGAACGGCCGTTTGCAGAAACCAATGTCCGTTGTAGATCGCACACCCCCTTGGTCCAGTTTAGATTCTGACACTGAATAGGTAAACTACCTATTGAAGTTATTCTTGTATACTGTTGGCTTTTTATATTAAAAGATCTTAAGCGGCCAACCATTTGTATGGCAGTTTACTCTTGGTAAAGACCATAGGGTTCTTGTCGGCAAGGGTAGAACATTTATGCAGCAGGGAAGTTTTCCATAATTTTGGCATCTTTGTTGGACTATTTCGTGTATTTTGCATTGGTTATTGTACATATGTTTAATCTGCCACAGACAAACTAACCAGATGTCTTCCGAACGCCATACCTGGAGGGCAACCTGCTTCGTATCTTTACAGTCAGTGTTGTCATTTTAAGTACCAATTTAAACAGTGTTAGCTGAGAACACTACCAACAACTAAGTACTGTCGGTGGCATATCTGTTAGTAAAGCCAAACACAGTAGACGAAGCTTGTGCATGTTCATACGCATAACAATTGAAAAAGCTTTGATTCAGCACCAAATGTCCAATTTCGCACCAACATACTGTGAGTACAGTCACCTTAAGGGCCATGATTATTTTTTGACCGTCTATGGGCACACAGGTGGGGTCCATGGGTCAGTTCGTTTGATGTCTACTGATCTGTGCGTTTGGAAAATGGTAACTGTCGATGGAAAGCTGGAGCAATCATGACTTCTTTGCTGTGTGCTCCACTGTACGCAGCCCCTATAAATCTGTATCACACGCTACCAACATTCCTATCTATGTTACTTTATGGAGTAGAATCCCATTCCAGCTGTTATTAAGTGTATACACTTGGCGATGACACTATGTAATCCAAATACATAATGATTATGAGTTAAATTGGCG